AGATCAATAGATCTAGAAAATCTTTTTTGATATTTTAAGGTACATCTGCTGGATCGAGTTCTACTGCTTGTCGTAATAACCTTTGTGAAAATGGTTCATCATGTGAATCAGTGCCAGGTGGTGGTTATCGATGTATTTGTCGTTCAGGTTTTACAGGAATGTTTTGTGCGGTAATTTATGATATTTATGTGTTAGTCCGATTTATTTATAAATATATAACGTTTTTTTTATAATTTAGTATCCAATAGCAGGTTGATGAACTTGAACTTATTTATGAACTATTGACAATATATTTTGAGAATGTAATAATTGTTCATTAAATAATAATAAACGAACAATCTATTTCTTCTAGTGAACTTTGAACTTACTAATGCGGTGTTCATTGGTAATTAGTGTAATGTTTTGAAAGAAAAACACTATTCTCTATTTAAAAATAAAAATATTTTTGAAAATCAATATACCATCTGTCTTTTCTAAAAACATATTATCATTATTAATGATGCGTGAAATAGAAATTTTTTTGTTTTTCATCGTTTATTTGACACAATACGCAAAAAATATTTCTTTAGAAAAATAAAAATTCATCTAACATTACAAATATATACAATTAATTAATCGAATAATTTTTAAAATTGCGTTAGTTAATTCTTCATAAATTCATTAAGCCATACTCGTACAGAACAATCATCTTTTTTATAAGTTAAATCACTTTTTATATTTAAAAAAGATTCAATTACTTTTGATGATGGTATTAATGTATCAAATGAAAATCGAAATGTTATACTTGATAAATATTGAAATCGATCGAATACAATTTTCATTTCATTAACATTTTTGACTGTAATTTTTAAATGTTCAATATATTTAGGGATTAATAAACAAATATCTTCTATTTTTGTATTAGAATTAATTGAAGATAAATTATTACATATTTCAAATGTATGAATATTTGATGTTTGTTTAAAAATATTAATTAGATTTGTTGTTGTATGTAAATCAAAAGCAAGATCATAATTAAGATTTAATGAAAGTTGTGTTATATGTGAAAGATTAATTAAACTTGATAATGGTTGAGATAAATACGATGGACATTTGTAATCAAGATCAAGTGTAAGTTCGGTTACATTACGAAATAAAGGATAAGGCGATAATTCAGTCTAAAAAAAAAAAATTAGAAACTGATGTTTTTTAGTATCCTAACGAAGAAAAAAAAACAAACTCTGATTGGGCGGTTTTTTGTAGTGCAAGAAAAATTTAATTATTAAATGTAAAAGAATACCTATTCAAAGATATTTTTTTTGCAAATTTTTCTAATTAAACTTGTTTAAACAAAAAAAAAACAAGCTGAAAGAAAATTATTTCTTTATAAAAAAAAATACCTTTCGTAAAAAATTTTCATGATAGATTGTTTTAACTAAATTTAATCGTAATTGTGATACATTATCCATCATCATTTCATTATTCTTATTATTCATATTTGTAAAATTTGAACATGAAATTTTATTTGATTGATTATGATATTGAAAATATGATTTACATATTGGTATAGAATATAACATAACTTCAGTTGGATTAATAATATAATCACAATTAACAAGCCATTGTTTATTTTCTAACCAAAATGCTGTTTGAAATGGTTGTATAAGAGCTTCAATATCAGAAAAATTATAATTAACATTTTTCCATGATAGAAAAAAAAATTCAAATTTATTTAAATTTGGTAATTTTATTCGAAGAATTTTTTCCCAACGATAACTATCAATTAAATATGCCATACCAATAACTTTTAAATAAATAAGTGATGGAGTTAATGAAAGAAATTGTTCTAATTTATAAATATCCATACGATTGTCTTCTAATGTTAACGATTTTAATTGTCGATAATAGGTTGAAATAACCATATCTGTATCATTCCAAAGAACATCTTTTATAATTAATGTTTGTAAAAATAAACATCGTTCAAGAATAGTACAATATTGTTCAAATGTTATTCGATTTGATATTTGAAGATATTCAATTTGACATTGATTAGGCCAAATAAAATCATATATTTCAAAGCACCATATACTTAATGTAAATTCTTTTAGATTAGTTTGTTCAAGAATTGTTGAAAGACATGATAATGTTTGATCAGTCAATGTAAGTGATGTTCGAGATTTAATTGTTAATGATTTAAGTAATAAATGAGATAAATCTTTTAAAATAATATTTAAATTTTTATCATCAATTTCCAATAGTGTTAATGAATGAAGATAAATAAATTGTTTAAGATTAAAAAATGAAAGAAATAAACTTATTTGACCTGGTGTTTTATCATCATCAGATAAAATAAGTGAAATAATATTTAATGGATTAATAATACGACAAAAATGATAAAAATTATTTTTTCTACATGAATTTAAATTTAATTTATATTGATTATAAGCATTTGCAATAATATAAAAACGTTTACAAACATAACGAAATGAAAGAAGTATTGTATTCGTATCAAGAAAATTTAAAATATGATTAAGAAGTTCAACAGGTAATGTATCTAAATATGAAACTATGGTTGTAGACATTGGTTCGACAAAAATTGTGCATAGTATTCGTATGTTTATGTCATAAATGCTTAGTATGATGGTGCAATTTCATGGTGATGTATTTCATTTTTATTTTGCCATCAAATACAAGGTAAAAAAAAAACACAGAAAGAGCGAAGAAAAAAAAAAAAGAAAACGTACCTTGTCCTTTTCTTTATTGGTATCGACGAACATATAAAGAAATAAAAACATGATCGAATCTTTTTTTTCCTCTTAGAAAATATCAATAATAAAAAAATAAAACCGATGTTGAGATACGCAGAGTCAATAACATTATTTTCTACTGAAATCAAATTAAAAGAATATGTTATTGATGTACTTTAACTCAAATTATAGAAAATATTTAGTTGTATCGATTAATAATTTGTATAGTTATATTAAAAATGAATATCTATTAAAATATATGATGAAAGTTTCTCTTCATAATATAATCTAAACATGAAAACACATAAGATCTTTATTTAGAAACACAACATATTGTAGATATATTACTAAATAATTATACATCTGTGGCTTATATCCAGCTGCGTATCTCTTGAGAATGGCGTCAAAATTATTTCGAGTGGAAAGCATCAATTAGTTACAAATGTTTTCCGAGAGAAGAGAAAAAACCACAATATGTTATTTTTATTATATAGAGGATCTTTTATATGGTTGCACATAAAATGGAAGAGAGACAACAACAAGTTATTGACTATTCTTTTTTTTTTTTTGCAAGACATAAAAGTGTTTATTTGCACATGTAAATTGCCTACTGTCTTTATGGTAACAGTCAAGTTTGTTGTTTTCTTTCTTCATTGTAGTCTTGAAAAAAAAAAAATTATAAAATTATAAATCTATTTCTTAGTTTCAATGGTCAATTGTGACCATGTTGAAAAATTATCTGTCCATCGATGATATTCATTTGTTGAATCATGCCATTCGGTAGTTATGTTAGACGAAGATGACGATGCATTTAAATCGTTTCGTTTCGTGCCTATCAATCGCCATGAACATTGATTAAATCCACATGTCGTCGGTTGAACAGTTGTCCCACACAATGGACAATTTGAAGTAATTACAGTAGAATTAGTTATAACATTAAATTGACCGATACCTTTATTCATAATAACTTTATGTTCAAAAGCTTGACATTTGGTATTTAAACAGACACCATCAAGACATAAACCAAATGATGCTCGTCTCCAAGCAGGACCATCTTCAGAAGATTTGTCTGATATAATAGGTGGATATTCTATAGTAAGACTAATACCATCATGAATAGCACTTCGTTGACGATTAAAAGTTTCTTCGTCCCATGTACGAAAAATGACACCACCTAGTGAATAATCATAATGTTCAGGATTACCAACTTTCTTTCGTATTAAAGTTTGAAAATCATGTAAACTAAAATGTGTTGGTAATGTAGCTGGTTTACGACCTTGAGGAGTATCAAGATAGATGCCAAGTGGCATTATTGTGTCTGTCTATATGTTAGGCAAATGTGATGAAAGAAGAAATAACGTCTCACTGAATAGACTATGATTTGTCTTGTTTTGGTAAGGAAGAAAAAAAAACAAGAGACTATATCGGGCGATACCGTTTCTGATGAAAGACTTACTAACATTTTCTTTTGAGGAAGAAAAACAATCGTTTATGTATTATTCTTGTAGCACTAAAGAAGCTACATGACAATGTCAAAAAAAGGCGATCGTATTATTTTGGGAAGTATTGAGAAAAATACGTTTCTGACTAATAGGATATAGAATTGAGATAAATATAGCATATTTCAGGATATAAAATAAAAAGAACAAAAAAGATTTAAGGTATAACCTAATTTGTTATCTAAGATTAATCATTAATGATAGTTATTTGAACAAGTTATTATTGGTAGAAATTATCGAGAATTGATTTATAATCTATATTATAATCGTTCTTTTTTTTACCAGACAATTATTTGATTTATATCTATTCTCGTTAAATAAAAAGTTATTGAGAGATATTATTTGTCTCTTATCAGGTATCTTAGTAAAATCAATAACTATTCTAACGTTCTCTGAATCTTATGCTTTTTTTTTTGTTTGGCAAATATATTATTCGATCTAAACGACAAATTTGAAATAATACTAAAATTTATCAAGTTGTCATTAATAGCAACTTAAAAAAGATAATATATCTGAAAATATATGCAGACTTTTTTATTAGATTTATGACATGAAATATATAGGAGATTACCATAGTATGTCTTCTAAATCAAAATAAACCATCAAGATATAGTGCACAATGAAAAAAGTATTGATTTTATTTGAAAAGTGTCACTTAGGTATATACTTATATCAACACTACAATCCTACTTAGAGTGTTCAACATCAGTTTTGATCCTTAATTATGAAAATACTTCAGTTGAATAGTATTAAGACTTCTAATTGTTGAAAACTCATTTTACCATCTTATAAAATACGATATTAAAATATTATCAGTATGATTTTATAAAAAAGATAAGATACACTAAGTATCATGGCTGCATTTGTGTAACACAATACTATAATTTATCTATATTTTTTTCTTATTACAACATTTGTAACAAATGTTTAACTGTTTTCATGTCATTGTAGACCATATTTATGTTCTTCTAATCATTACTTACAATAAACAGGCATTAATGCGACGATGTATTTTTTTATTAAATATACAA